ATTAGAAAATATTTTGTTTGTATTAAAATATGTTGTTCCAAAAATTTGATTTAAAACATCTAGATACACAACTTCATTCCAAGAACAGGTATTGCAATGCTCGTCGGACACTAACATGTTATTGTTTTATATACTTTTTATTCTATCTTTAAATAACCAGTCTATAATTAAATAAATACATCCCATAGAATTATACTTTTTACAATTCAAGACATATAGTGAAATTCTGATGTGATTTTAACAAAAATAACATAACAAAAATAAAACATATGAATACAAAAGTTTCACATATATTGCTGATATACCTATAGTGCAATAAGCATGATAAAGTAAGACATAACTATCATTTAAATATATATACTGTACAGCTGCAGGTCTTTGAGACTTTAGTTGACCACTTTCGTCCCATACCAACCTTCTACTTGGATTTGTTCAGCGCTTTTTGTATATATCTTTTCAGAAATTCCAAGGAAAAAGAAGCTAACCAGCTTAGAGCTTAAACTCATCATTCATTTGCTATTGGTTTATTATATCCAATATGCTATGTTGTTTAATATTTTTTCATTTCCGAAGTAATTGAACGTTTGTTCAAGCGGAACATAACCTCCGACGAATTTTAGTATTTCAACGTATTACACATAGTCTAATACCAATATAGGCGACATATGATGATAAATTACTGCTCCTACTCTTCGCACTATATACAGCATGTGTTACAACAGATAGTTATAAAAAGGTTCCAAAATGTACTAAATGTAGGTTAGAATGAATAGAGGGATAATTATCTTTATTTTATTTAATTTAAACCCCAAGCCCTACAACAAAAATTTGAAAAAAAAAGGTAAACTAGAACATGTTGAATAAGTTAACTGTTCAATGATTCATATTTTTGTAGATATTTGGACATTTAACGATGATTATTAGTATAATATAAGTTCAGATTTTTGTTTATTTATAAAACACGAGTTTTCCTTTTTCCTTTTACACTTTCTGGACTGATTTTCTTTAGAAGAAGAAGTAAAAATGTTATGTTCAAATCACGGAGAACTACTATTTTCATTTGATTATTGACATTATAAACTGACAGAGAACAAGTTACCATAGGAAAACACAATTTTCGTCAAATACTTTTTAACAAGTATTTGAAAAAAACAAAACATCCTTTTAACAAACAAAGATTTATAAAAGGTTAGGTTAAGCGCCATAGACCTGAATTCAATTCATCTTATAAACAACGAAAAGCGGATACTAGTACTTTGATTTCTTTTGGAAATTTTAGTGACCAGTTGCAGGTACTTTTGAATCTTATCATTAAATATACAAATTAATAGGACATTAAAGCTATATTCAATTCTTTGTAGCCAGAAGGGTAGATATGGTAATTTAATCAAACACTTCGCCTAATTACCATAAATTTAAAAGGCCTCCTTCCTGCTCTGAGTTAGATCTTCTGTTACTTGAACTAAACCACTTACTTAATATTGAAGTGACATATATGCTTCAATTGTGTAGTTTGTGAATCATTCTTTATAAATATTTATGAAAGAAATTACATATTCCAAAACAAGATTATATATCGTTTTTTTTTTGGGCTTTTGTCTAGGTTTTCAAAGATCACGCAGCGATAACGTCATTTCCGGTGCCTCTTTCTACAACGCCTTGATTTTACAGAAAATTAAGCATTTTCCTTTCTCAATCGGATCATAAGAAATGTAGAGTTTACAAATGAAATAAAAAATTGTGCCTAAAAATGTTTCAGGTTTGTGCTTAACAAAATTAACCGTAATTATTGTCCCTTTCGGCTCGAAAAAAGTGTTATTTCATTTTGCAGTTTATAAGGCTCTTTTTAGTTAGAAATGTGAAATGATATACTGATTGTTCTAGAATATCGATGATTTGGATTCGGAATAACTAAGATACGAAATTAATCACTATAAAAAAGACTCACTAAGCTTCAGTTAAAAAAAGTGCAGCCATACATAATTTCTCCCTGGTAAATTTTATTTTTTTTTTCTACCCTTTCGCCTAAACAATACAAGTTCTCCAAATTTGCATAAATATCTAGTAGAAGCGTTGTAATCTCATGTTTTTATGATATCTAATATAACATATGATAGTAGTAACATTGTACAATAATCTCCACATCTCTATTGAAAAACAAAAATATTAATAAATAATTAACCAAATTTAAGTTATAATTGTTCTTCTGTTAATTATGATGGATACTGTTAAATTGCAATACTACAAAGGTAATTGATAAATGTGTATCCGAAACATAATCTGGTCGTATTCCGTCCTTAATCTATTTATCGACACTTCCCGTCTAGTTATTCATGGCTTTGAATAAAATCTACCATTTAATATAGTAGTTTTGTTTTTATTTTGTGAAAACACCTTTTCTTTACGATTGGTAGATACAAGTCTAAACGTAAAATATTTTTTAAAACATAAATTACAGAAGCACTAAAATGATGGTGTTCAAATAGTATCTTCAAACCACTCAACATATACATTTATTTAAACGTTGTAACAAGAATTCATTTTAGTGACACTTAATTGTATTGAACCAGTGTCTTCTTGCTATTCCTACATTTTGTATTTTACTATTCTGAAATTATGGTAAGAACAATAAATGTTGTTATTGCAAAATATGTTGTTTTTGTCATTAGTGTCTAATAAGGTCACAGGTAAATTTACCTGTGGAAATTAAATAAAAATAATTTTTTATATGAAAATTATAAAAAAAAATTTGTTTGTTTGTTTGAAAACATGTATTGAGTGATATAATTAAGTGTTTCTTATCTTGAACATGAAATTATTTAAAAGAAAAGGTAGTCAAAACATTTAGTAGTCTCGAAAATAAAATTATTTAAAAGAAGTAGTGAAAGCATTTAAAAGTCTGAAAAAAACCGATTTAAAAGAAAAGCATTTAATAGTAACCAACACTTTCAGCATTAAAGGGAGCTTTTTTCACCACACTCAGTGTATCTGGAGAAATGCACAGAAGCATGGTTTGCAGATTGCATACAGTGATAAAGGCAACATTCATCAACTTGTTCGGAGAGCTGCAGTTCTTCCACTTTTACCACCCAATACAGTCGAAGATGTTTGGTTTAGCGCACTGGAGGACATCGATGCTGCATATTTGAGACAGCAACTCTTAACTTCACAGACTATGTAACAAGCTACTGGGCTGGTGAGAAATACAGGAAAATAGATGACGGCTTCAAACACTAAAAGCTAGGTTACAAAATGATAAAAAAGAAAGGCGAAAAATACAAGAAAGACATTCAAACTCATAAATCGAAAATAAACTGACAACTCCATGGCTAAAAAAAGAAAATGACAAACAAAACTACACAAAACAAAACATAGAAAACTAAAGACTGAGCAACACGAACCCCACCAAAAACTGGGGGTGATCTCAGGCGTTCCATAAGGATAATCAGATCATATGACACCGTCGTGATGCTCATGTTAGTACAAACCCTGTAATAAGTCTAACTCGATAGGTCACATTCGTGAAAAGGGGACGGGATTGTAGTTCCGTCATTAGGAACTTATCCGCTATCATCTGTGGAATTGATATTCAATAACGATCAACCAACTCGTGTTGGCGTCCGTAAAATTTACGAAGGGATGATTTCAACTTCTCAACTTGGAACTCTAGGTTTAATAGCTTCCTTGTGAGAAGCAACCTTCTATCAAGGAAATCATGATAAGAAATACAAGCCCTGGAACATTATATCAACTGGGAGATATATACACCGTATGCAGAAATTACGCCAGTACAGTATGGAGATGCTGCTTCTCATCTTCTGCACATTGATTGAGACTTTGTGTTCTCTTCTGTGTTCAATTTAGTGCAATGTATTATTGTGTTAGAACTCTGTTTTAATGTTAATTTAGTGTACTTTTCGGTGGTTTGTTTCAATATATATGTGTAACTCAAAATTTAGTGCTTTGTTTCAGAGAACAATAAACCATGATTACTACAATTTTGATATATTTATATTTGAATTGATATTACTTACTTGTATATATTAATCATGTTAATGTTTTCACCTAAATAATTTTAATTGATTGTGAATAACATTGTGCCTATAAATTCATATTGTGCTTATGATTATTATTTTCACAAAATGTGCTATAAAATTATTAAATAAAATATGATTTATTTTCCACAAGATTTACCTGGATTTACATTGGTTCATTAGTTTAGCGTTGTTACAACATAATCCAACATAAACACATTGTTTACATAAAATTTCTGGGAACTCCAACATAAAATTTTATTATTTTACCTATAAAATTCAAAATGTAATCATTAAACCATACAAATAACAGATTTTATTGATTAACTTATTTCAAATAGCTATCAAATGCTAGAACTTTTTACACTCAGTTCTTTATTGATTTTATGTCAATATCCAAGAATAGATTTATAAGGGGAAACACATTCAAGAAGTTTAAAAACAAATAAGATGGACAATGTCAAAGCGTTATAATTATTTCGCCAAAGCTTTAGAAAATTTCCATCGAAAGCGAATATTTACCAACCATTACACAAGGTCTGCTTAGGATACCTGAAGTAATGGCAAATCAACATTCAATATAGATCATTTGGCTAAATGTAATTCAATTCATTATTAGAGCAGGCCATTTCCCTCATGATAATGATAAAATGTTTCAATGAATTTATGTAAGCAAAAATTTACAGGATAGGAATTGCAAAAATACAAAAAAAAAAACACAAAAAACACAAAAACTCGAAATTCAAAATGTGTTAGCATTGTTCAAACATGTATGCAGCATTTTGTAAAATACAAAAAATGATCCTGCCAATGTGGCTTTGTTCAACAATTTCAACAATTAAAAATGAAAAATGTACACAAACAGTTCTAAATATATTGTGTAATGTATTGTTTGTTCAAATAGCTTTTTAACTCTGATAAAAACATTTTAAAATCAGTATCAAATTCAAATTGAAATTTCAGTAAAGCTTAATATATTTCTGTAACATTTTAACTGTGAGTCAACTGAGGTCCAATAAAACAGCAAATCATTCTTTGTGAAATCTCTATTAAAAGTTTTGTGATTGGAAATTATCCAATTCGTCTAAGACAAAGCCCTGATAAAATAATGTGAGTAGGCTTCATTTTTAAATCTTACTCTACGCCATACGCTTTCTTCACAAAAGCTAAGCCTGCAGCTGATTTTATACGTTTCAAAGTTACCATTAATCGATAAATTGTTGGTTTTGTCCTGTCTGATTTTTCCCAGTTTTTCCATTTTACTAAAAGATCGTTTATTTGACCGTTCAAGTCCTTTGGAAAATTATGCATAGTTTCCTTGATGTCACCAATGCTAATACCCAATTCTACTCCTAGGTGAACTACACAATCACCTATCAGCTTCTTTTCTGTCAAAGTATTAATTACGTCATCTGACGGAACATCTTGCAGACGATTTTCGGCTATTTCTATTAAAAAAAGAGAAAGATATGCATAAGGAAAACAATAGGTCATACCATAATCAGATATTTAAACATCTGCTATCAAATCAGATATTTTATCAGTTTCATTTAATGATATTGGCAGAAGGCTCTAGGGTGAGATAAACAAAAGGCTGTTATACTGTATCTGATATGAAAGTTGTCGTGTAATGATATTTTTATCATATACTTGTTTGTTTTGAATTGTTTTACCTAGAAAAACACCACCTGCATCTACTTAATTTAAGCTACAAGCCAACACTGTCGACATTCACTTATATATCATTATAATCCATACACATTGAAACGTAGAATATTTTTTAAAATCATATTTCCTAGAACTTTTACATTGCTGATAATTGTTTAAAAAGCATTTATGAACAGCATTTCAGACCAGTCTGAATCAGTCTAAAATAAGTATGATCTGTGCGGCAATTTCAGAGAGCATTGTTCTTACGCTAAAGACTTAACAAGTATAGATAAATATACTGTATTTTTTTACTTACATTTTTATTATCTATTTTTGTGTTTCTCAATCGTTTTTCTTTCCGCATACTCTACGTGCATATTTGTTATCAGTGAATAAGGATGTGCCTGTCCAAAGTCAAGAGCTTGTAATTCAGTGGTTGTCGTTTGTTACTGTGTTACATATTTGTTTTTCGTTCATTTTTTTGTACATAAATTAGACCGTTAGTTTTCTTGTTTGAATTGTTTTACATTTGTCATTTCGGGGCCTTTTATAGCTGACTATGCGGTATGGGCTTTGCTCATTGTTGAAAGCCGTACGGTGACCTGTAGTTGTTAATTTCTGTGTCATTTGGTCTCTTGTGAAGAGTTGTCTCATTGGCAATCACACCACATCTTCTTTTTTATAAGTATAAATAATGAAACATTTCTGTAACATTCCAACAGTGAGTCAAATGAGGCCCAGAGAGATTAAAAAAACAAAAACTGTATCTGCATTCAAGTACACTTTAGCTGTGTTATAAACAAAGTAAGAAATTTAAAGTTTTACCACAATGTATATCATAGGTGTATTATTTTGTATTGAGTGTGAATGACGTCAATTTTTACTGAACTAGTACACATTTTTGTTTAGGGGCCAACTGGAGCTCACCTCCGGATGCGAGATTTTCTCGCTATGTTGATGGCCCATTGGTGGCCTTGTGCTGTTTTCTGCTGTTTTGTCTGGTTGTTGTCTCTTTAACACATTCCCCATTTTCATTCTCAATTTTATTATTATGGCACCCTCAACGGAGTTGGGGTGACATATTGTTATTCTACGTTTCTTTTTTTTCTTATTATGTCACCCAATCGACAATGTCGGGTGACATATTGTTTTTCCTCTGTTTCTTTTTCCCTATTATTATTATTATTATTATTATTATGTCACCCGATCGATAATGTCGGGTGATATATTGCTTTTCCTCCGTTTCTTTTTTTTTATTATGGCACCCTCAACGGAGTTGGGGTGACATACCGTTATTCTACGTTTCTTTTTTTTCTTATTATTTTTCTGACACAAATTTTGTCCGCGCGAGTTCTCGGAATCCAATGGACCAATGTAGATGGAACTCTACTATAATGAGCAACCCCATGTAAAGTTGTGCACCTTGCTATGGAATGGTAAAAAATGGCCGCCGTTTCCATGGAAACAGCAAAAATGCCAAAAAAATCAAAGTGTTCCAAACTGGAAGAAACTCCACAGGAATGGTAACTGGCATGTGCTGATTTACAGTTTGACTTCGGAATTTTCAATATGGCTGCCGTTACCATGGAAACAGCTAAATATCAAAAAATCTAACTCTTCCGTTATAAGACCCAACTGGATGAAACTTAATGAAAATGTTACCCAGTATGCCAAGATGCCAAGACAATATTTGGATACTCCAAAATGGCCGCCGTTGTCATGGAAACTGGGGGCAAGTTTGACATTGACCCTATGGGAAAATGCATAAAATCAGCATTTTCTTAAAGAGTATTTCACCAAAGTCAATGAAACTGTATTGATACATAACATGACATGTGGCAATGAGATGTCTGCTTTTAGAATTTTGGAATTATCCACTGTAACCATGGCTGCAGCATAAATGTCCAAAATTTCAAAAAAAATCAAAATGCTGCCAACTCGATGAAACTTCACAGAAATGGTAACTGGCATAGGCAGAGTTGCATTTTGAAGTTGGAATTTTAAAAAATGGCCGCCGTAACCATGGAAACAGCAAAAATGTCCAAAATTTCAAAACGCTTCAAACTTAATGAAACTTTACAAAAATGATAATTTGCATGTGTAGATGCACTCTTTGACTTTGGAATTTTCTAAATTGCTGCCACTCACCTGACAAGGGGGGAAGGGTGCCATCCGCTATTGCTTGCAATTGTAAATGCAAATCTAGTTATTATTATTCTTCCACCTAATTTTGTCCTGCAGTTTTCTCAGAGCCTAATGCACCAATCTTAATGGTTGTTCACTATAACAAGGAACCCTGACTTACGAGTTGCAGTGCAACTTTGGCACAAAAAAATTGATGCCATCACCATGGAAACCAAAGAAAGGTGAAAAAATAAAATTTTTGAGTTTGGTGGATTTTTTGGATATTCATAAACTTAGAATCATGAAATTTTAATACAATGTAGGTACCCACTATATACTGGTTTTGGATGATTTTGGCAATCACTGGAACTACTATGTTGCCATGGAAACTACACCAAAAATTTCAAAAATATCAAAATGCTCAAAATTTAATGAAACTGCACAGTAATGATGAACAAAATTGGTAGATGTGGAATTTGGCGTTGGAATTTCAAAAATGTCTGCCGTTACCATGGAAACAATGCAAAACTGGTAAAACTGATCCAAAAAACCAAAAAGTGGCATTTACTTTCTTAAAATAGTATGTCGAATCCATTGAAATTTTAATGGTATGTTCCCTCCCATGTACCAATGTAGCACTTGTCATTAAATTTGGGGAATGGTCTATGTAACCATGGAAACCAGCAAAAAATGTCAAAAATTTCCAAAAATTACAAAATGCTCCAAACTTAATGAAACTTAATATGATTCTTAACTGGCAAGTCTAGATGAGACTTTTGACTTTGAAATTTCCAAAATGGCCACCGTTGCCATGGAAACTGCAAAAATGTCAAAAAATTTTAAATGATCAAAAATGCTCTAAATGTTCTAAAAATTTACAGTACCATGTATATCCATGCATATATAAGCATCCCGGTTTAAAATTTTTGAAATGGCTGCCACTTAGTGGCAATGGGGGGAAGGGTGACATCCGCTATTGCTGGCAATGGCAAATCTAGTTATGGCACCCCCAACGGAGTTGGCGTGACATATTGTTATTGTTCGTTTCTTTTATTCTTATTATGGCACCCTCAACGGAGTTGGGGTGACATATTATTATTGTTCGTTTCTTTTTTTTCTTATTATTATATTTATTCTTCCACACTTTTTTGTCCATGCTATTTCTCAGAATTGGCTTGAACAATATTGATGGAACTATACCATAATGTAGACCACTATATAAAATTGTGCAATCGGGGTATGACATCATCAAGATGGCTGCCGTTGCCATGGAAACTGAAACTAGAGGCTCTCAAGAGCCTGTGTCGCTCACCTGACTCTACTTTGGTTTTAGAAATCATGTAAAGATAGATAAAAATCATAACAGATACCCAAATAATGATTGAGGCCAAATTTTGATTAATATTGGTCCTGTTATTTAATAAAATATCCTGGTGGCCATCTTGAACAGTAAATCGGCAACAAAGTAGCAACACTTGGTCAGCACTTCATAAGGAACATTCATACCATGTTTGGTTTCATTCCATTCAGTGGTACTCTAAAAGAAGACATGTGTATGTATTTCCCATAGGGTCCTATGTTAAACTAAGTTCCCCGATGGCGGCCATCTTGGATGATGGATCGGCTACAAAGTAACAACACTTGGTCAGCACCTCATAAGGAACATTCATGCCATGTTTGGTTTCATTCCATTCAGTGGTTCTCTAAAAGAAGTCATTTGTATGCATTTCCCATAGGGTCCTATGTTAAACTAAGTCCCCCGCTGGCGGCCATCTTGGATGATAGATCCGCTACAAAGTAAAAACACTTGGTGAGCACCTCATAAGGAACATTCATGCAATGTTTGGTTTCATTCCATTCAGTGGTTCTCTAAAAGAAGTCGTTTGTATGCATTTCCCATAGGGTCCTATGTTAAACTAAGTCCCCTGCTGGCGGCCATCTTGGATGATGGATCGACTGCAAAGTAACAACACTTGGTCAGCAACTCATAAGGAACATTCATACCATGTTTGGTTCAATTCCATTCAGTGGTTCTCTAAAAGAAGACAATTGTATGTATTTCCCATAGGGTCCTATGTTAAACTAAGTCCCCGCTGTCGGCCATCTTGGATGATGGATCGGCTACAAAGTAACAACACTTGGTCAGCAACTCATAAGGAAGATTCATGCCATGTTTGGTTTCATTCCATTCAGTGGTTCTCTAAAAGATGACATTTGTATGTATTTCCCATAGGTCCTTTGTTAAACTAAGTCCCCTGCTGTCGGCCATCTTGGATGATAGACCGACTGCAAAGTAACAACACTTGGTCAGTACCTCATAAGGAACATTCATGCCATGTTTGGTTTCATTCCATTCAGTGGTTCGCTAAAAGAAGACATTTGTATGTATTTTCCATAGGTCCTTTGTTAAACTAAGTCCCCTGCTGTCGGCCATCTTGGATGATGGACCGACTGCAAAGTAACAACACTTGGTCAGCACCTCATAAGGAACATTCATGCCATGTTTGGTTTCATTCTATTCAGTGGTTCTCTAAAAGAAGACATTTGTATGTATTTCCCATAGGGTCCTATGTTAAACTAAGTCCCCTGCTGGCGGCCATCTTGGATGATGGATCGGCTACAAAGTAACAACACTTGGTCAGAACCTCATAAGGGACATCCATGCCATGTTTGG